ACTAAAAGGCATGAACAATGTGAAGTGGAAGGCGTTGGATGCGTTGGACCTTTACGGACTGAAGTCTATACGTAGAAGGGTGAGGATTTTTTGTTGATAAATAATTACCGACTGCAGTGCCATAAATTATGACTTGATCTATTAGATGGATAGAACATTAATTATCAATAAGCCTCAGCTGCGTCTCATGATATATAGATATTGTCGTAACGCTTTCAAGGAGCTGATTATATTTATGACCTTGCAAATTCCAATGGGAGGTGCCTGGAGATTTGAAATGTTAATTTAAAACGTCGCAACTAGTCTAATATTCCTCAATGGTTTCAAATCTTCAGGTTTACTTCTCACCAGTGTTAACCGTTAACAGTGAGTTAGTTGATAAAGAGTTTTCAATTCAAAACAACTCTTCTTGTTTTTTTAATATTGTTGTCAAGTCATCCTTCAATTCTGCATAGACATAGACGAACATTACTAAGATTGGTGCAAAGTGTCTTAGAAGAAAAGCCTTACATGAAATGTTACTCAAACTCTGAGCACTATACAAACCCAATCTTAGAGAAATAATGTTGTTTATGTAGGGAACGACGAGTGACAAAGATTGAACGTTAACATTGATTGGACCTAAGCCCAGTTTAATCCACACATACCGATCCTTCATCTTTATTATTACCCAAAGTAAATGTGCTTTGATTTATGGGAAAATGTGCCCTATAAAATTGTACTGTACGTATCAACCTACGAGGGTTTTATTTAAAGTAAGATGGAAACGCGTGGCGGCCTTTTTTCAAACTGGAACTCTATTTAGCAAAACGGCGATTCCTTGAATTCGTATGGTAAAAAAAAATTATGATGTTCGACCCTATGGCGCTCAAGAATGGGACGAAAATTATATCTGATCAGAGAAAACAATTGGATATATAATTGTGAAGATAGAAAGATGAAGAAAGCAAAAGTAGCGTAGAGTGTGGAGAGTATGATGAACTGAAAGAAAAAAATACATAGGTCTCATGAACGAAGAGGAAGGGGGAACGAGAGGAAAAATAAAGGAAGGAAAAAAAAAGGAGAACCGACTTGTCAGTTTTTGTTCTTATGTATTATTATTATTATTATTAGTGTTTTAATGCTTTTATGTTCTTAAGTTAACTTACCGAGTAGTTTTGCACATGCTGCACTCACTCCGATCCTTATTGACGGCATTAACAGTGAAATTTTAAAAAGAAAACCTATGAGAAAGCTAGCTAGCCTACTGATGGATGATCTAGGGATTATTTATGTTAAAATTCATTTATTGTGTAATTATAATTAATTTAAAGTATCTTGGGCATTAAATAATAAACTTTCTGATACTTAAGTTTCAACGGTTATTTTCAAGAATTTTTCAGAGATATAGATGAGTGGAGAATAAAGTTTTGAATGAAATTTAGAGAATATTAGTGCCCAGGTGTATAGAGATTTGTAGTTCTACTATAATGACAAAAACAAAGAAATTAAATATCGACGGTCGTTTCCAAGGACGTTCGCGACGATAACAATTTATATATCGTTAACTGTTAACGGTTTTGATTATACCTTCGTTTGCAAAACGACATCGTTTGAAGCGTCGCTGTTGCGTTTGTTGTGTTTAAACTCACGCATTTGAGTTGTTGTTGTGTTGAGATAAAAAACTTAAAATTGACAGGGAATTTTAAAGACTAAACCAAAAAAATGACTGAAAAACCATTTACATATTTATTTCCGCAAGCGCGATTGTTGTTTTGTGTGGGTAACTCTGTCTGCTTATCTTCCTGTCTAGCGTTAAATTATTTGCATAAATAAATAAAAAGGAACCACCGCGTGTAATAGGAGTGCATTGGGGCAAATTTAGTTGCCTTAGTTGTCGGAATATTTTTGACTTCGAACGTTTTTAATTGATCGGAGGATTTAAACGCGAATTATCTAACAAAATCTGCAGACTTGGGGGCGTCGGTAGTTGCATGTTTCGCTGTACTTAGTGCCGTAGCCTTGATAATAAAAATCGATCTGCTCCGGCTTCCACTTTCCAATATGTGTTGGGGAATTTGGCATGATTCCATTTAGGCCCATCGTCGCGATGGAATATGATGAGAGGACTTTCTCGAGCAAGCGGTTTGAAATTTGTATTGCATAATTTAAAAATTAAATTTGTAAATAACAATGATTTTAATCTAATTAATTTGTAGAAAAAAAGAGGCTACCTCCGTGCAAGTAATAATTATGTATTTTTAACTTTACTCTTGTTATTTGGAGATTATATTTTTGACGTGTTATATCACAAAAGCATTTTTTCCATGTATTTATACCATAAAACGAAGTACGAAGAAATTTGAAATATAGTAAAAAATATGACTTTTAGTTATTCAAGAAATAGTAGAGGTAGTCTCTGGTTCGTCGGATTTATATTTTTTCGATTTCCATGGACAAAACACTTTTTACTTAATTAGTTCTAGGGACTGACATCAGTTTTTATTGATAATAATTTTATAAGAATCCAGCCATCCTTTTAAGATAATCAGATAGGTGTGAATCCGCTCATACACTGTTCCATATTTCTTGCGTTGAGGCTAATAAATTTTACGTATTTACAGAAGTCGCGTGATAAAGCTGCGTTGCAACATATTTTTTGGTTACGAAGGGCACTGTTAATATTCCTTGTGTTTATTTTTAATGGTTTGCCAATTGTGATCCTTCAGTTTTTTATTTATTTATTGCTTCGTTAGGATTAAACAAAATTGAATTCCAAAAATAGTATCCCGTAATATATTAATTATATCACCAGGTATCACGTAAAAGTCTAATTAATTTAATTTAAAAGACTTAAGCTAACTTTGCCAAACTTTACTTACTAAAACACGATAGTGTAGATATTTAAATTTTAAGTCGTTTTTAATTCAAATAAAATAATATATTTTTAGTTTTCAATTTGGATACCGATCCCCTGCCGGACTTCTCTTGATTGCTTCCACGGTCTTCTATTTTGTGCCACCTGTATCCAATTTGTGTGAATGCTTTTAATATCATCTGATCATCGAATTAGTGGTCGCCCCATACTCTTTGCCTAGGCCGCCACTCTTCTATACTATAGATTTGGTCCATTTTGCAATATGCTCTGTCCAATTCCATTTCAGGATTGTTATTTTCTTCACTTCGTCAATTAGTCCAGTTCTACGAACTTCAATGTTTGTAATATTATCTCTGAGGGTTAGCATCGACCTTTGCATTGAACTTGTGTCGCTCAGATTTCCTGGTGTCCTTAATCTACAATGTGGAATTTTAAGAATGGACTAAAATATACAAAAAATAGATAACACATGCGTAAACGGCATCTAAGTCACAAGCTTATTTGGCACGAGCGGAGCGAGTGTTTAATAAACGAACGAACGAGTAAACAACGTTTTATCATTTCACCCTGTTTCATCACTATTAAAAATGACAGCGTCAGGGCGGATAGACAATTTTCAGAAGATTATTCTTTACTAAGCTGTTCAATATTGCTCTTATTTCAAAATTAAGGTTTTGTCACACAGTATGAAAAAATAACGAATTGTCGACTAATGGAATTTCCAAATTTGTTTCGGAAGCCATTTATTTAAAAAAAATGTGGTTGTTGCTGAGGTATTTTTTGTGTTTTTCAAATTAACGGCACTTTAGATACCAACTGTGTGTTGTTGATAAATAGCATTACCTGCAAACAAAATTATAGAGCGTTATCGGTCGCCAGGCGCAGTATCTTCAAGCTTGCTTACGATAGAAGCGGTTGCATTTTATTTAGGGGTGTTATTAGTTATTTAGGGGGCCAGTTGTTGCAAGACTGGTAATAAAAACTCCCCATTAGATAGTACTTTAAGGGCTCAGCTATACTTAAAGGAATTTTTGGTCAATTTTCAGAGAATTGTTTATAAAGCACTTGCTCTGCTGGTACCAAATCAACTCATGACTAAAATGGCATTTATCAAACTTGATTCATTAAATACTGTTGTGTAAGTGACTTCATATTTTGTGAGCTTAGAATTCTAGACTTAAAATATTTCCAATTTCCCAAAAATTTGAAAGCTGTTTGCTTATTTGTATATTTTTGAAGGCCGTTTTTCCAAAAAACTCCTTATTTTTGCTCTATTAACAACAACCAACGAAGGAGGAATCCAGAACTTTTGTAAATAGGTTACATTGTTATTTCATTCCAACTGATTTTTTATCTTTGTGACCAAGACCACCACCACTATTTATACAAAATTTCCATGCTGTATTTGTACGAGAAATTTGCAACTATATCTGACGCCATGATAAAAGAAGTTATTTTTGTTTGGCCGCAAATAAGAACATCATGCAAACACAAGGATTTTCAAAACAATTTCTAGAATAACGCCTGGGTTTCAGTTATCGAAGTAATTGATAAGTTTCTCGTCAACTCTAAGGACACAAACTAGGAAAGTATATGCCCTCAAAAACACATTGCCGTATGTCCGGAAAACGCAGCTGTCTGGCAAAAATACGAAGATTTCACTCAAAAAAGTCTGAGTAAAGTTTTTTTAACTAAGATTAAACTTTTTTCTGAATAAAAAGATTATTTTAGAAATATCGTTTTTTTTTCTTTAATATTTGCAAAAAAAGATTACGTGATACACATTAATGCATATAACTATATAAAATCAGTTTTCAAAATTAATATATCTGTCAAAAAGTTTAATTGTTAGTTATTGCATGTATAGACAACAAACCAGCGCCTTTCGACTACATATCTTAACCTAACAAAAAATACAAAAATCCGTTTTTAAAAAAGTTAAAAACGTTTCTCGAAAATTAGGCTTGCTTCTTCTTTGTTTCAGTTTTTTTTTTATTTCAAGGATTTCACACTTCTTGGTGATCGGCAGTTTTTAAAGCTTATTGGACAAAAACAACGTATCGCAACAAATTGCAGCGTTCTTATTCGATACGTTTGCGAGTGTTTGTAGATAGTCGCGGAGAGACGCGATAAAACACACAACTTGTGGTATTTGCCAGTCAGTACAATGGCAACCGCGCGGTTGGAGTCAACGAAAATCGAAAAAGATTCGAAAATGCTTACGGAACTGTTCCACGCCCTAAACGTACCAGAGGAAATGTTAGAAGTTTCACAAAACGGTGAGATATTCTCGTTACGGCACTTGGAAAAGAAATCATCAGAATTCAAAAGTGTCAGAAGTATGTTCATCGCGCACCTCAAAAACGACCAAAAAATTTATTTCTCCGTGGAAAGTGTCAACAAAGTGTTAAACCCGTTCCTGTTCGCTCAGTATTCGCTAAAACTGAGAAAAAAGAAAGAACAGTTTAGCAAATGCACGCAATCGACCGTATTCCACGGTACGAATTCGTCCGCCGTAATTCCCATTTGCCAGTATAACTTCGATTGGAGAAAAGTGCGGTCACAACATTTCGGCAAAGGAGTATACTTTGCAAAGCATGTGACTTATGCCAGCCATTACGGTATCGATGAAGATAGCGACGTGCGGATAATGATTGTAACCAACATCATCATTACCGGTAAAAGCATAGGTGAGAGGGGTATCACGTTGCCCTCTGATGAGGAAAGCGACACATCGGTCAATGAAAAGCAAGTTGTTTTGGTGAAGTACGAGGATGCCGACGTTTATCCAGCGTACGTCGTCTACTATAAAAAGACTGACGAGCCTCTAAATGACGACCAGGAGCCAGGACCATCCAGAGGACCTGTACCTCTTTACCCGTTCGAGCCCATTCCCTTGGTCGAAGATGACGATCCCAACATTGTAGTCATAAATCCTTAAGCAATTTGTTCTTTATTTACGTCCAATTATTTTTTCTGTGTGATTATCTAAGTAAATAAAAAGATTATTTGTTTTTATATTAATTTTGTACATTGTACAAAAAAGTTTTATTCAGAAAGACTAATAGAACTAAAATAATTACGTTTAAAAACTATTATATAAATATAAAACATTGTATAAGGCTGCTTGCGTAGCTGCATGTTAAAATATAGAATGAAATTGACTCGTAATAGTAAACATCACGGACTAGTTAAAGATCACAGCCATCAGTTCGAACTTAAAACAACTTAAAGTTTTGCTGAAACAATCCACCTTCCACGTTCTCAACAAAACTTTATTTGGTTTCACTATAATTGTAGCAAACTGCAAATAATTATGACGAACCAAGCTCACCCTTTATTTTGATATAGTTATTAACAATAATAAATTTCATATATGATTAATATTATCTTTTCGCAAAATAACAAACATTTGGGTAAATAAAAAACCAACCTTCATCTAGAACAAGTAGTTTGGTTTAGTTTAACAAGTCTATTTCTATATTCCTAACAAATGATAATGAATTATATACAGCGGATAATAATCCGCATCTTCGTATTTCACAATGACGTCTCTATTTGGTTTTCCGGAGGTGTCACTACTTCCCTTGGGAATTTGCATCGAAGGGTCGCCATTACAAATCCAAGTATATAAGACCTTAGACAAGATCATAACTCGTGATTTCCCCACTAATTCCCTGGGATAATAACTGGCGTACGTAGGATATTTAGCAAATGATACTCTCTGGCCGTACATGTGCGCATTGGTACATCTCCAATTGTAATTCTCTTCGCAAATGGAGTCCAGATTGTGATGCCACGTTCCATGATATAAAAGCATTTCCTGACACAAATTAAAAGTATCTGCTTTCTTATACTGCTTCAATTTGTACTGGGCTGCGATGTAAGGATTTAGAACCATCTGAATCATTCTAACCGATGACTTGGTCGTACGGTTCATTAAACCGGACGTGAATTTCACCTTCACTTTTTTGAATTGTGTTGATTTTTTATCCAAAGCGACCAGCTCGTAAATCTTGTCCCCTTCGATGGGCTTGAAAAATTGGGACGGTATTTCCAGGGCTTTCAAAATGTCGAGCAACATTTCTGTGTTTATTGAAACCTCGACCGGTTTTGGTGGTTTCCTGTTGTGGTTCAAGGAAAGTTTTCCGAGATTGTTTACTAAGGAAAAGTGATCTTGTCGACTCATATTTTCGATTAGCCTCTAAAAGTAAAAACAAAATGCGCTATCTTGTTATACCAAACCATAACCAAATTTACCCTATTTTAATTGTCACAACTTTGAAATAGCGATATATATTAACATGTATTTTCTGGGTTTCCCGTATTAAGGCTCGTCAATATGGTTAGACTGATGCCCGCACCGATATGAAAAATAACATCGAATACAACGCAGGTTTTTGTCGCTTATCCATATCGGTCGGTGTCTGTTCCGCATATAGAGAGGGAAAAAAATATGTTGGAATTTTTCGAAACTTATATACCTACTTATACACCGCCTCATTTTTTAAGTAACGCAGTGTTTGGACATTTGCAGTTTCATATTTTAATTCCGCTATCTATTTTATTTCTGATCGGCTGCGCGGTGTTACTGACTGGGTGCTGAGTTGACGATTTGAAATAACCGCGCAATTTAGGTTTTATCATGCCTAAATCTTAGTTTTTTAAATAAGTTTTCCATCGTATACAGGGTGGCGAAAAAATTATTATAAATCTAATAACAATTTAGAGTGGCCAAAACTTTATTGCTTCAAATTGTGACACCTTTCGCAGGGTATTTACCAAATTACCTCCCTCCCCGCACCTTTGTTGCTCCAGTTGAGAAGCGTAATTCGTACAGGGTAGCTTTTATTTATAATTATAATAAAGTGACTTAAAAGTTTACCAAACGTATTGCACATTATACATGACGTCAGAATTGACAAACGTCAAAATTAAAGCCGAGAATGTCCGAAATGTCTCGGATCTGTGTCAAATGAAACTGACGTCGTAAAATGGCAATTATACAGAATGAAGTAGAAAAAAGCTTACTTGTGAAAATTGCATTCTCTTTAGTGACTCTAATGCATAGGGAATGATTGAAAATTGTTACATTTAAAAAAATAACAGAATATGTCTGCGTGTGAGCATTTTTTTCTCGTCCTTGTGGAAATTTTTCTATTATTTAATCACTATGTAGAAGATTTAAAAGTTTGCATGAAATATAACATCAAAACGCTATTTTTTTTAAAGAACTACCGTTATACACAACTGTTTAAAGATATAATAATAATTTTATTCATACATTTACGTGTTCTTATGAAAACACTTGTTTTTGCAACCTAACATTTTCATAATTCGCACATTCTTCTCGTGAAAGTTTTTTGATCTTCAAACTGTCGCGTGCCAACGCTTTCTGCTACAACCGATACCAAGTCAGGTAATGATTAGAATTTTTATGAGAATCATTATAAATGGTACCAAAAATATCAGGATATGAAAAAGTATGGATCTATCTTGCGAGACTTTTATAGACCCAGCCATTTGTAGCTTCCTTTGCGCCATCTATTTCTGTCATTCCAATGGTTAGGTTGTAGGTCTCGAATCGAAATATAAAACAATGTTACAATGATTATTTAAACATAGTTACACTGATTGCAACAACTGTTCTTTGTTATTTCGCTTTGGTGGATTACCCGTTTTATGTTACAAATATAGTATCATAGAAAAATAATATAATAAAAAGATAATACAATTTCATAAGGGCAGTAGTTGCATTTCGATAATTAATAAAAATATCTATTCGCGTTCTCTGCTTTTGTCACATTAGTCTTTAGTTTTGGCGTATGCAAAAACTCGAATTTTCGACCCCCTATCCCGGGATGTATTTCGCCGCTAATAGCCGAGTAGGTGGAAAACGTTGATATTCGGGGTGCAATTGTGAGGAGTTTAGTAGCCGTGCGATCCTCGGGACGGTCATATGTATCGAAAGAATTTTAAAAATAATTATCTAAATTTCATTTTGGCGTAAAAAAGTACATAGTGTTCCAAGTGCAACCATATTGGTTAAATATTCATTATTTACTGTAATTTTACAAATAAGTTTTCCAATTTCCAAAAAATAAACAAAAATCAGGAAAATTTATAAAAAATTTTAACAAATCCGAATTATTGTTTCAGCCGCCGCCAACGCAACGCCAGTTTAGTTCAAGCGCTCTTCTCGACAAAAACCAGCACCAGCAAGAACCGAAAGATGACCTTCGATTGTCCTACAACAACAACATTAAAATATCCCCAACGATAAATACTCAGCCGCCAGGTGGCGCGACACCACCGTCGTCACCACAGCAGCCGGCCCAATCGAGACGCTTGCTTCAAGAGACTCTTGGACGGGGAAGTCCCTATCCCATGATAGCTGGACCTCCCAAGGGTTACTGGGTGGACGGAACGGATCACGATGAGCAATTTGATCACAGAGGGGTGCCGGTAGTTCCGCACCAGAGTTGGAGAGCGAAGATTGAGACTGACGATACCGGGAAGTGTTACAGGCGATTTTTTGTTGGAAGGGTAAGTTCCTAGGGCTTTATTTATGACTTGTGTCGGTGACTTTGTTGAAAAGTTCACTCAGTTATGTTGGCGATGACCACATAGTTACAATAATAATGGATGTCGGATTGCTGAATAGACCAGCGAAATTGATTAGCAGAGACTAATTTTATGACCTCTAAATTGTAAAATATGTTAATATGTAAATATTGCAAATATTCTGGTGATACTAAATTGAAAATCTTTACGCTATTAGAGTTAAGTCTCTGCGACTAACTAGCCAGTATACAGGGTGTGTACGATATTTGAGGAAAAATTGATATTAATATTTATTTATTCATATTTATTGCAAAATTTATTACGAAATTTTTACATAACGAATCAAATGTTCTTTCTTCATGTTGATCATTGTGGTTATTATAGCATCCTTCAGCGATGAACTAGTGTTATGGGGATGTTTATTGGTCTCTCGTTCAACTGCGCCCCATACGTAATAGTCAAGAGCATCAATTTTGTCAATTTTGTATCTTGTCTTTGATTCCTAATTTGTGCCGACATAAACTGTCGTCTGCGCATAACGTAGGACTTATGATGGATTAGACCCTCAGAGACATTAAGGTTCCTCGCAATAGCCCTCATCGTGAATGATCTCTTGCACTTGTTGGACAAATTGTGTATTTCTAGTAGTGTCTGAACGTTCCTTATGTCTTTTGCGTTTTGCATTTGCCAGATGATGCTTGCAATCCACTACGAACCTTATGTACGAACGATCGGGCGCAGTTGAGAAAATTGGAGATTGCTAAATCGATGTGTTTCGCGCATGTAGCGATGATAACTGCATGTCTCTTCATTTCTTGTGTTACTTTATAGCCCTTCATCGATTATCTGACAAAAAAAAAACACACACAAAAATTGTTCTCCATAAATTACGGGATGCCCTCAAATACCGTACGCGCCCTGTACATTGGCGCCTGTGGTTTATCTAAATAACAATAGGCGGAATATTAATGACACCATTGAATTCAACGAGGGCGGTGGAAAGGTGCGGACTTGATACAAACCGAAAAAAAATCTTCGAGAACATTTTAGTGACTTCCCACCTGCGTCTTGGTTCCCATTAGACTGCCAACAAATGCGGTTTTGGTTAAATTGAGACGTAGACATTTAGATGTACATATTTTGTTTATTACACTCTGTATTCGCTTGTAAAGGATAATAGTCAATCATTTAAGATAAAGCAACACATTGAACCGAGGTGGCTTTTACTTGATGAAAATCCATTTAACAAAATAAATAAGAACTAAAAGTTCAGATTTGAAAGTCAATTGCTGAAATTTTAGTTCTTATTTATTTTGTAAAGCAACTCATTAATACGTCATAAATTTTATGACTGATTTATGATAGAAAAATTCAACGCTATTCATGTGTTAAAACTATAACTATTCTAACCTGTGTATCACATCGTTGTCCGAAGGAGTCACTTGTGACAAGCGTGGCCTTTTAGTAAACGTATTGATATTGAAATATACTATTAAAAAAAATTGAGTCAGTATTTTATGTATAGGATCACCCTAAATTCCACTCCTAATGTTGGTTTGGTTCGAACACTACTCTTTTTTACCTACTCGACGCATATACTATCATCTGGAGAACCGGAAAATTCTCCAATGATATGAGTTCGCAAATGCAGCAGACGTTCTCGAAGCCGGTGTAAACTTGAGAATTTGAATTTTATTACGGGTTTATAGATAGATAGATAGATAGATAGATATATTTGTTGACTACGTTTCGTACAAAAGGAACGTACAATTGTAGCAAGTCAGAAGTTATATTCAAGTGTAATAAAATCACATTAAAAAATAACATAAAAACACACATCTAATACAAACAAAATTATATAGTACTATACAGTTTTATTGCGCATCGATACCAGTGACAGTGTCAATGTATGCTCGCAGGGAGTAAAAACAATGCCGTTGTAGGAATTCTTTAATAGTATGTTTAAATTTTCTATTGCTCATCTTTTTCGTGGTACCTGGCAAAACATTATACAATTTTAGGTTCAACGAGTTGCTCTCAGACTTCCTCAGTCTAAACCTAGGCCGTCTTAGGAGATCCCCCGAACGAGTTGGATAGGCATGGCAATCAGGATTAGTATCAGCATCTCTAATAACTGGTAGTAGATATAGATGCAAGGAAGGGGCATCACTTTAAATTTTTTAAAATAAGGTTGACAATGGTCCCTATATCCTATATTAGCAACGACTCGAATGGCCCTTTTCTGCATTCTAAAAATCTCCACAGCAGCTGAGGAATCACCCCACAGCACCGTGCCATAGCATAAGTGCGAATGCAACAAACAAAAATAGACCATAAGCAGAGTCCTTGTTCCTATCAGGCCTCTCAGTCGTCGAAGAACGAATATGTTGCTGGACAATCTATTTTTCAGGTCTGAGATATGTCATTTCCAATTTAGACTATCATCGATCCTAATGCCAAGCAACTTGACGGACTGTCCACTATTTACCAAGCAATTGGAGGAAAACACAATACTCTGGGTCTTGTCTAAATTTAATTTAAGATAATTATTTTCGAACCAGACATTAGCCCTGTCCCTAACGGACAACTCCTCGACACTGTTAGCAGATGTAGTGAAGGATGTATCGTCGGCAAACATCACGCAGTGATTGGGGGCCAAGAAATGATAAAGGTCATTTATGTAGATTGTAAATAGTAGCGGGCCCAGGACGGAACCCTGGGGCACCCCGCTTACTACTGATTCAAGTGATGAACGGTCATCCTGGTATTCTACAAACTGCTGTCGGCCCTGCAAGTAGGACGCTATAAGATCTAAGGGCAGACCTCGTATACCATATCTGTATAGCTTTTTAATAAGAAGCTGGTGAGAAACACAGTCGAAGGCCCTGGAGAGATCACTCAAGGTCAAACCAACGAATTCACCCCCCTCGGGGCCCTCAACTATCCCATTCACAACTTTAGACACTGCTGGATCGTCGAACACCCTCCCCTAAATCCAAACTGACCAGCACAAAGACATTCGATCTTATTAATATAAGAAGTTAGCTGATCTTTTAGGAAGATCTCAAAAATTTTTCCGAACAAAGGCACGATTGAAATCGGCCTGTAGTTGTTAGCATCATTTATCACCGTGTGCTTCGAAAATACTTTGGTAATTTCTGTAATAAAGAGAATATTAAAAAAGAACATTATTATGGTTAATAAACGTGTGTCCGAAAAACGCCTCCTTTATAAGAAAATCTGAAAAATCGTTTTTTAAAATTTGAGTTAAAAATTATTAATTTTGTTTAACAGTTGTTTCTGAAACCATCGTTATTATGAGATTGCTACAACCTCAATAACTCCAAAACAAGTTTTTTTTTTTTTTGCTTTAAACAAGAATAAGTTTTTTTAGGGGAAACAGTTTAGAAAAGTAAAAATACTCCCTTTATTTTTTGAGAGAAAATAACTATCTAAGTTTTTGAATTGTTTCTGTAAACTTAAAAATACGAACGAAAAATGTAGAAAAATAAAATACAGACGAAACAGACGACTGGTCTGTCTGAACTAGTCTGACGTCATTCTTCATAGTCTTCGAAATTTTAAAAATGCTAATGGATTTAAATTACACTCCCACCGTCTAAGCACCAAATTAACTTAAAACCGTTGCCCCACCTTAATGATCGGTTTATCTGAGGTCAGCTCCACCTCGTACGCGTTAAAGTCATTTGTTTTGGAGATTATTTTACCAAAAAGGTTCCCGTCGTGCCTGCTCGGTATTATAATCGTTCAGACGAAGGAATTTTAAATATATAGCTCACGCTATAGATATTACGGAACACATATTTGTGTAAAATATTTTTGGGGCTTCCCGAGAACGACGGCGATTCCAAATTTAAATTAACTCGGACTTTTTTCCGGTTTAACGATTACTTTCGGGAGAGCGCTCTTTCTTCCGGATCGTTCCCGCAGGCGACCATTAAAACTTTATATTATTCTTCTCGAGAAAGAACTAAGTAAATAAAGATGTTCATTTCGGAACAGGAACGTTTGAATTGACTCCCTGGTCTCCATTCGGAATTATTTTATAGCAGTTTAGCGAATTTCGCGTTGTTTATATAAGAAATTGAGATTTTCATCCTGTCTAATTTTCTTGAGACCTTGTTTCGAAATAGCTAATCTTTACTTTCGATGTTTGTCGTAAAGAAATGCGAGTTTTCATTACGCATTCATTCATAATGAGGTGATATAAATAAAAATAGAAATTAGCAAGGAGTTAGTTTTAGTTTGGTTGGTATTTAAATATTGGCAAAATTTATATTTAAAAAAAATATATTTAAATATTACTTTTGCGGACCCTAAGATAGCGATTAATTTTTTCTATTATTTAAATAATATAGTCTATTCAAGAAATCAGATCAAATATGAGCACGCGCTGTACAAATACAAATTCGATTAAATATGCAAACTCAATATTAATTATATCTGTCAGGATGTGATTAAAAAATGCTTAACGCTTAATTATTCTGCACCTAGCAATTAACATTGTAAGCAAATGGGCCAGAAAGAGCGAGACAGAGGGATTGGTGAGAAGATTCCCATTCTCATGGGCTCGGATGGACGAGAACAAAGTCGTTTCGGTGTTTTGTTACCGATACAGATGATACCGGAAATGCTGCATATTTATGGTCGTTGACTAAGGATGAGAATATTTTTGAAGGGATATTTCGAATGTAATGCCTCGGTATGTTTAGTTTTTCGTTTTTAACAAAATTCCTCTTAGTTATTGTGAGAATTACAGCAGGAATACCCTGTGACAATTGAATTATAAAAATTTGCCAACCTTCTACAGGGTGTGTACAAATTTACTGTTTGAAACGTGAATTATTAAAGAAATTACTTTTTATGTAATAAAGCATTGTTTAAACTACATGGTACTGTTGGATAGGGTAAATCAATGTGGATCTTTGTAAAATGGGGATATTTCGAGAAGTGTACAGGTT